GAGCAATATTCAAAAAATAATCTGCTGTGGTTGGATGGCAGATCTTCCTTATGTCCCACCCTAATTATCCACAGCATCCTCGCAGCCCCACTGACTGATGCTTGGTCCTTTGGCTCTGATAGCAATGAGAGTTGTTATGTGTCAGGAGAGCAGCTGGGGGAGGCTGCCTCCTCCCCAGAGCAGCGTGTTGGGTGCATCTAGTCCTGCAAGCTGAGCACGAGAACTGTTCAGCACAAGCCTTTGGCTAGATCCTGCTAGACACCCTCTCTTCTCAGCTTTGTAAGGTAAACAAACACCCCATCTCTTTAATAACCATCTAGTTTATTAGACAGTCAGATGAGTCCCTTACCTCATCCATCATTTTTATTTTTATTGTGCAGGCACTAGATATATGTTTGAATGTGTGTACTTAAGGGACTGGGAATAAGAGACCTTTTTATGAATCTGACCATGTATTTCTCAGAAGGCCATTACTAGGGGAAAATTGTTGCATAAATAATGTATAACTGCAGATGTCCAAGCCCTGTTTTCCTGCAATAGCTCATGGCTTCAGAGACACTACTTTTAAAAATGTTTTAGGGAGTGTTAGAAGCAGTCAAGAGTAAGAAGGAACAAACAGTTAGCATTTTAGAGCTGAGCAGTTAAGGTAAAATGGATATTTCTGCCAGTGGTTCTCTTCTTTATGTGTGCATGCATTCCCTATCTTTTTTTTGTTCTGTCATTGGATTTGTTGTAATCTAGATTTGCTGTCTCCCAAAGGTTTTGCTCCCCAGCAACAGCAAGTTGGCAAGTGTTACTCAGCTTCTTTGCTGATGGTTGTCTTAAGTCAAAGCAGAGATGGCAGAAAACAGGGGAATGTGACAGTGCCTTTAAAAAAAAAAAAAAAGTGTGTGTGTGTAATATTACTGTTGGTCCTGGGAAGGCTGTTTGTGTCCCACTGACTTGCTGTCTTAAATGTTCTTCTCTCTCTAAATGTTTATTATAGGGAAAGAAGGGAAACCTTTTTTCTTTATCTTCCTGTGCCTGCAACCCCCATTAACTCAAAGAGGGAATAGGCTTTTAAGTACCCTGCATGTATAATAAATATATGCTTCTTTCTAAGATGACAGCTTAATTTCGTAGCTGGCATTAAACCTTTGAGCTTGGCCATAGGCTTTCACTATCCTCCATAAACCTGGCCTTGGCAACAACAGCAAAGTTTCCAGTAAGCAGTCTGACTGGAACAGGCTGACTTCAGTGTCCTGGAGCTGGGATAGCATTTGATGGTCCCTTCATTACCTATGAGACTCTCTTTCAGGGTGACAGTGTATGCAGTTATGCCAAGTCCCATACTAGGGAAGCTGATGGTATGGATTTCCCAGCTGATTTTGCTGGCTGTCGAAATACACCCCAAGTGTTAATATTCATGTTTATTTTTTAAGGGAATTAGGTGCTGTTAGAGTGGTAGCCTGGAGGAAAAAGCCTCTCTGGGGGCTAGTGCTAGTTAATACTTTCTTCTGCTTAGTAAACAGATGTCACTGAAGGAACTTTCCACAGGGCTGTTGTCAGAACCTCCATTTAGTGTCAATGTGTTTGCTATTCTTATCCCCTCTAGCTCAGGGAAGGTATGGTAGATCTGGAAAGGGTTCAGAGAAGGAACAAGTGAGTCAGCTGGGACTCTTCAGCATGTAAAAGAGATGAAGTAGAAATCTGTAAAGCAGTGAAAGGGAGGGAGTGACTGCAAAATCTTCATTGTTTCATCCTCCAGAAGAACTAGGGTCAGCAAACAAAACTGGTTGGAGCAAGGTTTAGATCAAACCAAAGGACTTGCTGTGTTCCACACACAACACATAGTCAAGCCACAGAACTAGCTGTCATAGTTAATGTCATAGTTAATAAAAGTTTGAGAGGAGGTATGGCAAACAGGTGGAAGGGAAAAACCATTGCTCCTCACTAAATACAAACTCTGTGTCTGTCTCTGCGGGTTTCGGATCCACAACTGGTTGAGACATGAAATACAAGGGGGAGAGAAGTATATGCTTGTCCTGTTCCTCTGTTCTCCTCTAAGCATCTGCTGGATGGAGGTGAAACAGAGACAAGTTGGGCCTTTGGTTTGCCCCAGTATCTGTTTTATGTTCTTCAGGACGTAATGGAATAGATGGGACTTTCATAGTGACTACTTCTAGATGTATGCTAGAAATGAGAAAAATCTGATCTCCCTGCTATTTCAGTTGTACTGGTATCATTGCTAATGATGGGCCACTGAATACTGGTGACGATGGGGGATTTTGCATCATTACATCTATTTGATGTCAACTGAACAAAACCTGTAAGATTTGTTTCACTCAGCCTTTAAACACTCTTCGAACAGGAGTGACTATCAATTAGTTCTGTATTCTGGTAGTAAATGCCACGACTATTCAACTCCCACAAATTTCTGTTAACAAGCGCAGAGAATTTTTTGCCATTTTTTATGCCATAGTACAAACGTGTTTGTAAGTTTGTACATTTATTGTGTAATTTGCATACCTAACTGCAAGTGTATGTAAAATAAGATACTCACTCATTAAAAGACATATATGAAAGTGGCATATATTTTTGTCCTGACACACAAAAAACCCCCACTTTATTTTTTTTCAGAGACATTTTTAGTGCTAGTTTTGCAAGACTCAAAGGACTTGAGAGATCTTAGTTTGATTTTGTGCACTCAGGAAGCTTTGGGGATTTAGATAGAAAAATTCCTGGAATGTAGTTCTCTTCAGCAGAAGATTTTTTTTCTTTTGCTAATTATATAAATGATGATAGGGAATTCTGCCCCTGCTTTTGCTTCCCCAAGCTGCAAGAATGATCCTCCTCACCTGAGGACCAAGGTGTGAATTGCTGTCGGCAGACCACGGGCAAGCGGGGGCCCCTCATGATGTAAGTGGTTTGTTAAGGAGCCTGCAGGCCTCTTGCTCAATGACTTCTCTGTCCACGTACAGCTTGGGAACAGTCACGGGGCCTTTTTTTCAGATGTGAAATCTGTCAGCAAAGTGAAGTCAGCTTAAATATCAGCTGAGGCTTGAGCTCCCTTTCAGTTTTTGTTGACTTTATCCCCTCCTGCTCCCTCCCGATCAAGTTTCTCTCTGCTTGAGTCAGACTTGCTGACACTTAGAAGTTTTTATTCTGTGTTTCGGTTATGTGGATTTGTGTGTGGCAAAGTTCAGGTGCCCTTCACATTCCCAGCCTTGACAATGATCTGAAGTGCTGAGGAGAGGGAGACCATTCTGGGTCTCTGAGATTCTTTAGCTGCTTCAGTTCAATTAGAAACCAGTAAAAGTGCTTGTGGTACCCAAAGCATGCTGTACTCAGGTGACGCTGTGCAGAGCTGCTGGAGTTTTTTGTGTTGTACCTGCAGCTACCAAGCTGAGGAATTCTAGTTGTGAATCAGCACCCCTCTGTTCCCCAAATACAGAACAAAAATTACTGTCTGCACCAGAATTTATCACCAAAATATCAGACGTAACTGATGGGGTACAGACAGGCAAAATACACGGAAACAGCGAGCGTGTGTTAGGTGTGTGCTGAGCCTGTCCTGGGGGCAGGATGCTGAGGTCATGCCATGTCTGCTGGCTGACCGTGCAAACATCTGCAGGTTTGGGATGAACCTGTGGTGTCATTGCCTGTCAGTGTTAAAGCATTTTATGTATTGAAAGCTTGAGGGGATTCTTTGGCTGTGGCAAGGAATTTCAGACGTTGTGGCTTATTTATAAAAAGAAAAGAAAAAACAGAGTAAACTGCAAGGGAGAGAAAAGCTAGGGAAGGAGAGAACAACTGTTCCTGCTTCTGGTTTTTGTCACTCTCCTAAGGATAAAAGTTAGGAGTTATATTGTTCTCTTTTTTACCCTAGACTTAGACATGTTTTAAATCCTGTGATCAGCTGCCTTGACTGCTTTCTGTCCTACCTGCACGCTTTTTTTCCTCTCTGTGATACCTTCAGCGGTTTCCAAAGTTGAAATAATTTCCTACTCCTCAAAGGGCCAGAATGTTTGAAGACTTGTAATTGAGAACTTCTGGCTGTTGAGCCAAATAGGTCTTAACGTCCCATGGGTACTCTGTGCATTTCTTCCCCCTTTAATGGCTGGTCCATATAAGAGGCAGCAGCCTGGCACCTCTCCATGCATCTGTCATTCCTCTGCAGGCGGTGGTCAAAGAGGCAGCATTAGGGCCGAAGGTGCCGGGCTGGCTGCAGAAGCCACTTCTGGGCTTCTTTCTGTTCTTTGGTGCGTGCCATCTGTGTACTCTGTTCTCTGGTTGATGATGTCTTTGGAAATAACCTTTTCTGTGTAATAAGCTGTTAAGGGAACAGGGTCCTACCTATCCCTCAGTAGGAAGCAATGTTGGGTGCCCTCTGTTTTCCAGCTGGGTGCTGGAGAGGTGATGGCAGTGTGGGTAGAATGGGATATCCCATTCTGTTCCCTGCTGAGGTGTGTGCAGGTGCTCTCTGCACTGGATAAGGCACAGTTAAACATAACCTTCTGCTTCTCTTAGGATCATGTTGGAGAGATGCTATTGAGAGGGAAGAGTGTGTTGCAGTCTGGAGAAAGAGACAGTGGGCAGGGCAAGGTGTTTGCCTCCTTCGTTTAACTGGAAAATACAAGCCACAATTTAGGTTCTCTCAGTATGTGAAAAATCATCTGGGAAATGCTTACCCTGTGGCTGCAGTAATAGTGAATTATTGTTATCTGATAGCTCTGTTCCAAAACCCAGGTGAATGGGAACAGTTTTTCCTGCTGTTCCTGGCTTGCTGGGTACTGTCTATAATCCATAATATTGTTCTGTCACAGCTAAATGTAGGAGGAAGCTCTCAACCCAGCAGTCCCTGAGTCTCTATGGATGTAGACATACTGGTGTTTGCTGAGAAGGAAACAGAAACAAAGGTCTCCTGATGTGAAGGATACCTATATCCTGCTGAGCTGAGGAAGGTGATTTTGATTTGACTTTTTTTCTCCGCCCCCTCCAACCTCCCTCCCGTTTTCCAGAGAAAGTTCACTCCTGCGACCAGGAAAGGCAGAGCGCCCTGGAGGAGGCCAGGCAGAATCCCCGCGAGGGTATCGTCATCCCCGAGTGTGCTCCCGGAGGGCTCTACAAACCAGTGCAATGCCACCAGTCGACGGGGTACTGCTGGTGTGTCCTGGTGGACACAGGACGCCCCCTGCCTGGTACTTCCACTCGGTAAGAGCTATAGGCCTGGTGAGATGAGATATAAAAAAATACTGTTGCTATATCAGGTAAGTTCTAGAGCAGTCTTCTCTGTACTACCTTCCTTAGAGCTAGCAATGCCGTATGTGATGTTCCCTGTTGAATGTTACTATGCAGCTCCCTCTCTGTAGGAGCTGGTGCGTAGTAACTACTGCCCTTACTTTCCTCTGTGTTAAGTATTCATGCAAGCAGCCTTTTTTTCTCTGGCTTGAAGCTTTTGGGTGGTAGCAGGAACAAGGACTTAGCTCAAGAGTACAGATCAGGGGCATGAGCAGTGAAAAGACAAGTGGCTTTGTTGCATTATCCTCTGCTTTATACTTCCATGCTGCAGCCACTTGGATCCTGACCAGTACAGATTTAGAAGACTGCTTGGTTGTGCGTGGATAGATTTTAAACCAGCGATAGATTTTTCTTTCAGCTACTCTGTATCTTAAAACTACCTGGGGAATCTTTTCTCGCTTGGGGTTTGGAAACAAATTGTGGGTCTGGCAAGTTATAAAAACAGGCCAGTAGGAGTTGGGACCTAAACTCTGCTAGATACAGTGATTCTGCAGAGCGTGGACAGCTTTGAAAAAAAGCTCAGCCTGTGCCCACAAGAGTTGGAAGAGGGCCTTGGGCTGTTTGTGGGTTTGGGTTGGTAGCTGGTACTGGACTTCAGAGTATGCTCTTCCTTCTCTCTCCACTTCTGCTGCTGTTGCTGACTGTCCATAAGCAGACAGGTGCTTGAGAATAATATTTCTTCTGCAGGTTTATTGGTTTCCCCTGCAGTAAGCAGATAAGACACAACCCCTTAGCAACCATCTGATGACACTAAAGCTATATCATATAGTTCAGCATCTGCTGTTCTCCTTTTTCAGCTATGAGACCCCAGTGTGTGAAAGCGATGCCAGATCGAAGAGCACAGAGATTGATGATCCATTCAAGGACAGAGAACTTCCAGGTCAGAGAGGAACAAGATCCTGTCTCTGCCTTCTTCCCTTGTCTCGCCTTGGGACAAGAATATTGTTGAGGAGATGGGGGATTTCCCTCACCATGCATGTTTTACCATGGGTTTTATTCTGTGTTATTTTGGATGACCTCCGGTTTCAGCAGTAACTGGAAAAGGCTGGGAGTGTCCTGGGGGCTGGTTTATTGCCTGTCTGCCCTTTGAAAACATGTCTGGGATCAGAATTTTCAGGAAAGAAACCTGGATGCCTGGAAGTCCCCTGAGGGAAGAACGGGCTCAGCATTAAATGTTCTTCTTCAAAGCCTGGCCAGGATCCTTTCCATTTAGCAGAGCTTTTCAGCAGCTTGGTGCCCCCTGAGCAACAAAAGAGGACACAGCTGGCAATTGTCACTGCACGGACCAGGCAGGGCAGTGTTCCTGGTGCACTAAGGTCCCTGAACTAATGCTAGCTCCTCACTTATGTATCCCTCATTTTCTGCCTGGGACCTGCTTTATCTCCCATTGCTGCTTGTTTTATATTCTGCTTTTCCCTCTTAACAGAGTGACAAGCCATAATTTACTCTTTGCCTACCTTGTTTCTGCTAGGAAGATGTGCTGGGCATAGGTGTCTGTGCAGCTCTTAAAAATGCTATCCTACCTGCCTGTGCTCTGGTTTTTCCTTCCTGCCACCTTTCTAAGGAGCGAAGTGAGGGGCCCTCACTGACAGGTCAGCCATTGCTCTCCTGGGTGGGGGCTGACTGCTTGAAAACAGAAGCTACAGTGGATCCCTCTCCACCATGAGGGAGTGGTAGAGACCAAGAACTCTGCAGAAAGAGCTGGTAGGTCTGAATCCACTTCATTTTCTTCTGGCCCTTTCTAGGGCTAGCATAAAGTGAGTTGTCCCTGAGCAGGTTAGCAAAGGAAATGAGATTTGTTCCAGATTTGCCTTCTGTGTCTCCTAATTCTCCTCCTGCTGGCTCCTGACCTCAGGCCCCATAGCTTTCTGCTTAGCAGCTCTGCCCTCAGCAGGGCTCTCTTCTATGCGGCTCCTCATTTTCACAAGTCATGTAGAAATTTCCTATCTGCCTCCCTCTCACATTCGAATGAAACTGGCCAATTGGTTCAAGTATTACTTTGGGGCGTAGGGGGAGGGAAACCAGCTAAATGATTGCATTAAGGCTCATTTCCTTAGGAAATCACGGTAAAATAGAATAACCTTACTTCCTTTCCTCCCCATCCCCTTCTGCCCTTGTTTTGCTGCCTCTCCAGGACTGCTCTGTGAAAATCCTTTGCTCTTGAGCTTTTTCTTTGAGACTTTCTTTCTGATCTCTCAGGAAGACAGAATGGGGTTTTTTCCCTTCTCCCTCCACTTCTTCACTGCAGCTGCAGCTGGACAAGGGGACAGGAACTGCTTGACGGAGAAGAGGACACATGATGCTCTGTAGCTTAGTGGTCTGGTCCCAGCATCAGACTCCAGGAGAGTTCCCCTCTCAGCTCAAGCCTGTTTTCTGTGCCTGAGTAAACTTTCAGCTCTGTGCTTGACTGCATTGGCTGGCATGATGATTCCCGTCACTGAAAATACCCTTGTCTATGGAGAGACTAGGAGATGGAGGATCTGATGCTGGTTTGTCTGACTGAGAGATGCTGTGCTGACTTGAGGTTTGTTTGATTAGCTGCTCTTGTATGCAAAAATTCACTGCTGATTCAACTGCAGGGGGTGAGAAAGGATGTTTCTTTTTACTTTTTTCCGCTCTTATTTCTTAGCAGAACTGAATTTAAGAAAACCCCTGCTTTAATTTGAGACTGCTCATTCCATTTGCACTCAGTTCTGGGGGACTCCTTACCTTATTCCTCTTCTAGAGGTCTGCCCATTCTTCAGGCTCTCAGTGCTGCAGGCGGTGTGCTTCTTGGCTTGTGTGAAGAGACCCTGCAGAGGCCAAGATGGGGGAGACATAAGTCCAAATCCTTGCACCCTTACATGTACCCTCTTCACAAACTGTGTCATGGCTGTGGCCAGAAGAAAGAAAGAAAGAAGGAAGGGAAGTGTTGCTTGCACATAGCAAATGGCAAGCTGCTAATTCCTGCAGACGGTGAGATGCTGAGGCCCCAGGGAGATGACTTCTAGCAAATGGTTTTTCAACCTTCTCATTACTGCAACAAAAAGCTCCTTTAAGTGAGTGGTCTACTCTGGCTGCCATAGCAGCTTACCCATTACAATGCTGACATTTTCTGGACCATGTGCCAAATGAGTGCTGAGGGGTGTGCGTGTGTGTAATGCACATAATATGGAGACAGGCGAGGGACTGTTGGTTAGCTATTGCAGAGAACAGAGCCTGTAATGCTGCAAAGGAGGGAGTTTTGTCAGATCAATTTGCAAGCTGCTTTCAGCTGTCAAGGGATTACAGTAAGTTTCTGGTGCTCTGTTTGGGGTACACGTGCTTCTCTGCTTGTCCGGGAAAAGCAGAAAGTGTTGACACTGCTATATGTTGCTAGGGGGAGGCTGTTTTCTGATGTCTTTTGCCTTAATCAGCTGACTAGTTGGTAGTGAATGTTGGGTTTGGGAAAGAGAAGAGGTAAGGGATGTGGTGATGGCTTCTCTGTCACATCAAGAGAAGACAACAGGATGGGAGGTGATGGGTTTTGGACAATGGTTTTGGAGATGGTGGGTTGAAGTTAAGTATGCTCGTTCCTTGGTAGGTTAGAGCAATTGTTACAGTATTAATGTGGTAGTAAATGAAGTATGCTTTTGCTCCTTTAAGAAGCAAGGGAACAGCATAAATTGCCTCATAAAGGTGAGGAGATGGAGAATTTCGTCTCAGCTGTGTCACAACAGGCTGGCACTGTTAAGGATAGGAGGCTCTGTCAGTCTGTGGTTATGATGGTGGGGAACTAGACGGCCTCAGGACTAAGTAATGGAAATGGTTACCAAGCTCGTCTTCAGCCTGCTTTGTCCTGCTTAAGCCAGCAGTGACTGGGGGCAATTACCACGTGTTGACTTAGACTGACGTATTTCCCATGCAGTGTGATCATGCAAAGAACTGAATTATTGTGGTAGCTGCTGGCAGGCAACTCTCTCTGTGCCTGAAGAGGAGAGTGCAAGCAGCGGCGCTCGCTTTGGCCCGTGCTTCGGGAAGCTTTAAGCTGTCAGTTAGGTCCTCGGAACAGCCATGTTTGCAGAGGAAGATGACCCAGGAGGTAATGAGTTGTTTTGTAAACTTCTCTGCAAGTGTCACCATGGGAACTCCGTCTGCCAGGCGCTTCCAGCACATCCCTGTGGTTATGCTGGTAGGGAACTGGGAGAGGCCATAAAGCTAACCACACAGTCTTCCTGCCAGATATTGTTAGTGACCCTGTGTGTGCCTGGACAAAAGCTGCAGGACAAATTGCCACGCAGAGAAACCCACTGAGGGATTCTTCTGCCTTTCCTTAGGGACTGATGATGGCTGCCATGTTACAAACAAAGGAGGTTCTGGCTGATCCTTGCTGAACTGGGGTAGGAGACCAATCCTATGTGTTCTTTGATTAAATCTCCTCTTTTCTTTCTGCAGGCTGCCCAGAAGGGAAGAAAGTTGAATTTATTACCAGCTTACTTGATGCTCTGACTACGGACATGGTACAGGCTATTAACTCAGCAGCACCTACTGGGGGTGGGAGGTGAGTCCAGAAAGCACTTGGGCTGAATGCCACCAAGGTGGCTGCAGAGCTCTGGGTGCCTCTGAGGTGGGGGTGGGAGGGAAAGGTGTTGCTCTGCGCTGGTTCGGGCTCCTTTGGGTTGCTTGGAGAGGAGCTGAGGCTGCACCTTCAGACGCTGCTCTGTCCTGTCATCCTAGCCCTGCCTGCCTCCTCCCGCCCCTCCTCCCTGGCAGCTGCTCCACCATAAAGGCTAGTATAGCCCATTTGAAGTGTGAAATGAGAGCTCAGTGGGAGGAAGTGGCTTGTTCTTTTGTCCCCTGGTGCATGAAAAGACCTAATAAAATGCAAATGGATTGAAGGAGACCGTGTGGCCTAGTGGCTACCACGGGGAGTGAAGAATGCGAACCAAATTCTTGGCAGTACCAGCGCTGTGGTTTTGCTGTGGGGCGGGAGCCTGCCTGCCGATGAGGAGAGGAACTGTTTTTCATGGCCGTCCCCTCTGACCAGCTGCCTGTTCATCCCTCTTGGAAGGAGCAGCAGGTCAGGCCTGTTGCAAGAGGTGGGCAGAAGTCTGCGTTCCTGGGGAACTGGAGAAAAGCTGAGGTCTTGTCTCCCCCTTCTGCTTGATAACAGCAAATCCCCTTAGCGCAGCAGCTGCAATGCTGCGGCCGGACAGGCTGTTGAGAACGGGCTGTGATGGATTTAAAAGAAGTGCTATATTGCCTCGGCTAGGCAAAGCTTCTATGCTTCTGGATTCTCCCGACTATAAAAGGAGCCAGTGCTAGTTTAGCACGCCGGGATGCCACAACAAGTACTGTGCTCGTCTTCATAGGGGTGTAGGGATGAAGGAGGTGCCTCTGTGCATGTGTTACTTCCGTGGGTATTGTTCCAATGCATTGGGAGTGATGTTGATCCCCTGCTTTCCTCTTCAAAATGTAGAAGGAACCAGTGCCATCTTTAAATACTCAAGACAAAAAACTTCCTCGGTGGCACCTTTGTGCCTCTTGGTTTCAGTGTGCATTGCTTGTGAACCCATATGGTTTTAACTTTGCATTTGGACCTTACAAATCAGGCCAGTGGCCGAGTGCCTGCACGCTGAATATTCTGTAACCCATCGAATTAACAGTATACGCCTCGCATGTCTGTATTCATATAAACAGGATGAAAAATGCCCCAAGGATGGGAAATACGTCGTTCTCTCCCAGGCATAAGCATTCCAATGTCAATTCTGTCTAATTTGCATGGTTGAAATGCAGTGGGTAGGGGTGGCGGGAAGCCCTGGAGAGTATTTGATATTTATTTGGCATCTTTGGCACAGGGACTGAAACCCAGCCAATGTAATCATCACTCTTAAAATAAAGCTTAATATAAACCAATATTGTAGAGACCAGAGATGTATGCCCCCACTGCACTTCTATAAACCAGCATGCTTGCTTCCTAATGTTCCCCAAGCTTTGTGTATTTCTCAGCTTTCAATAGAGGCCTTTCTGGTAGAATTTTTCACTGCCCAGCTCTTCAGACAGTCGTCATGTTGATTTATTTTCAGCTCCAGTGTCGGCAGCCCAGTTGCAAGGGGAAAAAGAAATCTTTTAGCAGCCTGTCCTTTGTAAGGCGAAAGACTGCTGCCACCCAAATACTCTGCCTGCCCGCAGCCACGATTAAATTCAGGAAACTGCTCTGGCGTAAACTTCCATGTGCATCAGCTAGGCTAAGCGCATACCCCAAAGAACATGTGTCAAGCTTTTCCATCCCACTGTGCCATGATGGGACCATTTATTTTGCAAAAAAAAAGCATTTCAAGGAATTTTGGGTACTTACATAAAATTTTAATCAGTGCAGCTTTCATTTCATGTGAGTTTGCAGAGTTGGGAATCTGTCTCTCGGCAATGAGTCCTTCCTTCCAAGTTTCCCAAGGGGAGGAATGTCCTGAGTCCTCTCTTCAGGAATATCTGAAATTGTCTGGGTGACCTAACTTGACTTTGGCCCTGGAAATGAAAGCCCTTTTCCAAGACGAAGGGATATTTTACCTATACAGTTAATAATTTCCAGCCTTAACAACTAACAAAATACTGGATTTATGACAGTGCTTATCCTGTATCTCCCTGGCCCAGGTTTGCTGAGAAGGTCATGTTGAAAAGAAAAGCTAGAGATCTGGCTATCTGATTTTTCTTAATGTCAGTCACGTCAGTTTTAATGTCTTAATATCGGTTTTCTTATTTGTGAGGCAAGCTTCACTTACTGCAGGCTCTTCTCCATCTTTGCCATAATGATGGCAGAACAGGTTCTGTATTTAAACACGCACTGGTTCCTTCTGTAGCCTCCCTCTTTCTGTTCCTTTACAGTGTTCAGCATTTCATCCTCCTGGGCCTCTTTTAGAGTTTGAACAATGCATCCAATGATCTAAGGTAAATTTTTAACGTATCACCAGCAAGGCTTATGCCTGTTGTAGAGGGCAGGCCAGGAAAACAGCAAGCTGTACTCCCATCTCAGTTGGCCCCATGTATTGTCCTATGTATTTTAATCAATCAGAGAAGCAGCAAGTAGGATTTTTAGGGAAGGCGGGGAGTATTCCTGTTTCTCCATGGCAGCAGAGAGATGATACTGGCATACGATATGCATCTTTAGTATCAACATTAAAATCTGGGACCGAACACAGAGAAGAGCCTTTCCAAAGTGTCAAGGGCTGAAAAAGCCTAACAGTGAGAGTCTTAAGGAGCTCAGCCTTCCTTAGGGTATTAAAAGAAAGGGAAAAAAAAAAAAGAAAAAAAGGTTGAAGATGATTTTGTATAGTCTGAGTATCTCCATAGGGACAAAAGCTCTGCAAGCTCTTTAGTGGGGAAGAACATGATTAGCTGAATATAAACAAACGTGTGATCAAGATTTCTTTAAAGTGAGGGCAATTCTAAGGCAGAATGAAGTCATGAGGGAGGTGACAGGTTCCCTCTCTCTAAGGCTTTCATCTTAGGCCTTGATGCCTTTCAGAAAGACTTGTTTTAGTCAAGCCTGAATTATGGTCCTAAGAGTAATTTGATTCACATTCTGTGAGTATGATATACAGGAAATCAGATTAGATGACCTTGCGGCCTGAGTCTGGATATGCGGAGTGAAAACTTCTTGCATTTGCTGAATGTCTTCATCTTGAAGACTTTACTTATTTATGCTGCAGAGCTATCTGGCTTTGCAATTAATGTCCCTATTAGCTTTTTTTAGGGGGGAAGGAGGAGCATGGGGAGAAACGATAGAGATCTGCATTTAAAATACTACACAGAGCTGTGCTAAACTGCACACTTTATACTTGGCACACACAAAAACAATCTAGTAGCAGCAAAGTGAGGCTGTACAACTTGGATTGCTTCAGGCCATGTAAGTAAAACCTGATAAGACTTTTTTTTTATTGGGCATGCTTAAAACAACCTTGTAATCCCTTATAGGTCTTGTCTCGTTTAAGCAAGTTCAAAGCTATTGAGTTTAATTGAGTTACTCTTGCTTTACAATAATGTAAATGAGATGAGAACTTCCCTTCCTCGTGGCCCTGGTTTATATTACAGCAAAATAGCCAAGTAGACTTCATTTAGACTTTTTAAACAGAAAATCTCTGGTAAAATTCATTCTTAATTTTAAGTTTATGTAATAACTCCAAGGCACATCTTGTTACTGTATGTTTTCAAAGTAATTAAGGGAGCGCTTGTAGGAAATTGGTTTATTAACCAGTGTTTGGTATCCTTTTTGAAAAGACACATAGTTGAAATTGTTCACGTATAAATCCTATATAATAGGAGCAGCACTCTCTAAAATTTAGACTTTGCTTTAGTACATTTTAGTCTGTTTTCTAATTCGGACATATTCATATCACACAGGGCCTAAACTAAAATAGACCAACGGGGATCCCGGCCTGGGTTTCCCTTATCTGAGAAACTGTGTTTGGTCCCTGCCAATTCAGAGGTGAACTTTAGTTGCCAAAATGTGTGCACTATGGCTTGCTACAGTATCAGCAAAAATATTAATGCCCTGTGGAATTTTGGGTTAAAAGGGCAGCTTACAACAGCCACCCTTATCATGTAACACAGCAGCTGTGTCCCTTCATTTTAAGTTGCCAATTATTCCCCATGTAATAGCCCTAAAAAGTACTTCAGAAAATTGCCCCCGAGGTTCCCTTTCATGCTCTAGTTGAGCAGTTTGAAGCAGGCAAGCACAGCTCAGCACATCTCCAGGGTGTTCTGAAGCCGAGCCATGTTTTAATAAAGATTGACACTTTCAAACAGTGCGAGGAAGTTAATGCCCAACTCCTATTGCATTTCAATTGAAGTTGAATACCAACTTCTTTTTGTGCTCCGATGGAAATTTTAGCCTAATTAAAGATACGGGAGAGTTCATTTGAGAGGAGGATCTTTGAACAGTCAATGAGGAGTGAAGGGAGGTGATTTTTAAACCTTCTAAATTATTTATCCCACAATCTTCAGAAAAGTTGTGTTCAGAATAATGTTTCATACAGAACTTAGCCGGAGGAGAGGAAGAAACTTGGCCTGTAATAGGAAGATAACTTAAATTTTAACTGTAAAGGAATTATGTATTCCCCATAATGAATTTGGACTGTGTAGTACCCTTTTGTTTAGTCTGAACACAGCTTAGTTTTTTGTTGGCTTCTTGATTCTTTGGCTACAGGAAAGGGAGAATAATAAAACAAATACATGATCCTTTTGCAATTCCATTAGAGTAATCCTCTTTGATTCAAGCCATGTTCCACCATTACAGCTTTTAACTTCAAAATAGACAACTGCAAAGAACACCAAAAGGAAAGTAAGAAGTGGAAGAAGAGTAAGAACAATTCTGAATTTTACCTCAGCTTGTTAAACTCTTACCGCTTTCCACCACTACCCCAGGCACTTGGTGGACATCACGAATGCTGCCATGGGTGTTGACTGGCAGGGTCAGTCCTGACATTTCTTTAGCTTCGCTCTCATCTGTCCTTCATTCAGCGAGACAGTACCAAGCAAGGTATACATCCTTGCAAAATATTTTCAAGTCATAGAAACTTACAACTTTAAGTCCTGTAGACATCCTGACCACAAACATACCTTATGTGTTAGGAGTGGAAGCTGGACTAATTTTTTTTTCTACGCTTGCTTCTGCTAGCAGCTTCTTGTCCATCAGTGTTCTTTCATTCTGGAATAGGTCCCTCTGGTTTATAGTCTCTGCGGTCCAGAGTTAGGTGATGTTAAGCTGGTCTTACTCCCCTTTCCCCCTCCTGCCTCAGCTGCTATTGTTGCTACATAAAGTTTGTATTACAAAATAATAGGTTTTCCAAAGGTCTTCAAACAGGTAATCAGTGCACTGGGTACTTCAGAGGTTGCAACCTTACTTTCTCTTAAAGCAGTATTTTGTATTAGGATTTTCTGTCACTGCAACAGTACTGTGGGTCTGTGCAGTCTGTGCAGTGGGATGCAGTGGGGCTGCAAGTGTTCAGGGAGCAAAGGATCAGCTTTGGTAGGAATGGACTTCATTTTACTCAGTAAAATTTAGTGGAGCGTATTACACTTTGACAGCGCAGTTCTGTGGAGGATAATTTGATTGCACACTGTACACAGTTCAGTATGTGAGTAGTGTCTGACACTTGCTGCTCTTCTACACTTTACCCTATATACTTCCCCTTCTTCCCTGCTCCTTCCTACTGAGTTAACTCCTGCTTTCTTGCAAGGGGCCTCAAAGGCTGGAAAGCATTACAGACTGCATGCAAAGTGCATATTCAAGCTGTTTATTTGATATTTTGGCATATTCTTTTCTCTGTGCTCCAGAATTCAGTCCAGCTGCAAAAAGTGCATGCCCATGTTTTTTCATAGCCTCTTTGCTTTCTGCCTGTACCCCAGTTACACCAGATGATATGAAGGTGTTCTGTGGAAATGTGTTGCAACTAGAAAATAATATCGTTAAAAGTAACAGTACCTTAACCCACATATCTCCAAGCATAAGCCACCTAAGAAATAAGTATTCTTCTCCTATGAGGAAGCTGGTAGCACATTACACAGGAGGGAGGAGCGAAAGCCTACTTAGAGAAGACTATATATGTGATGCCAACAAATTAGTAAGAAAGCTGAGAGAGCAGGTTCCCTGTCCTAGGCTGTTAATGACAGACCATGCTTCTCTTCATCGTTGGACTGTGGGTGGGCTTATGCTGCATAATGGAGCTAAACTTGCTGGCTCGTGTACAGAGGCGATCCAGCTATAACAGGTTAGATTTGGAAAATCAGCTTGCACAGAGCTCTCTGCTTCCTCAGCACTCATTCTTTAGGATTGATTGTTTTGCCATAGAGTGCTAAAGAGGAACAATTAGGTAAGAAAAGTAAGTACAGCTGTAATGCAGTCAACATGAGAAGACTGCGTTTTGGTAATGTCTGTCTTTACTAGGTCTTGCAAAGCTGCTACAGCACTGGAGTGAGAGACTGGAATTCAGTGGATTTTTGTGTGACTGGTATTAGAGCAAGAGATGTTGTTTTGCTGGGAGTTGAGAATGTACAGGGCAGCTTTGTTCTCTCTTGGTTTTTCTGATTCCTTTATGGTCTGAATGAGTAGAGAGGCAGCGCAACAAATGAAGTTTGCATCTGAGGGCTGATTTATTTCTCTTGCAACACAGTGGAGAGGTAATAGAGGGAAATTCCCCTGGAATACTGCTGCAAAGTCTTTGCTCGCAGGACAATTAGAGCCCCCAGATTTATTTCAGCTGACCTGGCAGGTATGGTCGTTGTCATGGCACACCATCAAAGCTAAGTGGCTTAGCAGTGCTGTGAAGTTGCATCAATTCATGTTTCATAGATGGTGCATAAGTGTCTTGCATGGGCAGGTGTCGAAGTCAAGATAGTTAGATACGGTGTTGTATCCTCAGCCTTCTTTAGTGTATCATGTAATTTCATGAGCTGGGGGGATATGGCTGCACTGAGAGGATGTGGATCCTTCCTGTGCTGGGATTCTGGATGATCATCAGAAAGGGCAGGCAACCAACTCAGGAACTGCAGTCCCGCTAAGCCAGCCGACAGGAAGTGGTAAAAACTCAGAAGTGGCTATGTCTTCCTTCCTCCTACAATCACAGCAGTTAAACTAACTCCCTTTAGCTCCATTAGCATGCTGCAGTTTTCAGCATGAGCTCTCACCATGTTTGTAAAGGCAAAAATTGATGTATCATCACCTCATGAGTCAATGTATTTGTATTAGCCGAGGATTTCCCTGATTTTCTTTATGGAAGTGCTAAAGAGAGCTATATTGCCTCTCTTGGTAACTCACAAGAGCTCCTTCTTGGAGTGCCTCTGAAAAAGAGGCACTTTTAAGTCCTGCTTGTGAGTGTCTCCAGCAGGTAGAGAGAAGCTTGTGTTCCTGTCTGTTGTCTTTCTGCTGTTGGTTCTACAATGCTCTGCTATTTTCTCCATTTCTGCCTCTCCAGTTGTGGGCCTTCAGGAAACAAAGGGCAGGCCAAGGTGTGGACAAGGGGAATCTCACATGCAAAAGCTCAGGTTTTATTCCTCTATCTCAGCAAAAACAGAATATTGTCCCTTGCAATACAGAAATTCCCTGTGGCTGTTGGAAACATGCTAGTCTTCAATGGTAGCCAGCTCATTTCCAAAAGGGAGAGAGGCCAATGACTGTGTTCATAAATGTCATAAAAACAAGCCACAGGATATGTTTTTATTCTCTTCTGTCATCCTGGTCTTCACATACAGTTTCAAGGCTCTGAAAAATCTGGGCACTCCCTTAGCTTCCTGGGGAGATTTTTGCAATTTCTGCTTGTCCAAAGGTGGTTCCAGGGGCTTGCCTTGTATTTTGGCTCCCCAAACCAAGCCAAACTTATTCCCAACCTCTTCTTCCTCCTCCACAGTGTTTATCCCACTGTACATTGACCAGATGCTGTGACTGAACGCCAGGCTGCTTCTCAGCTAAGAATTAAATGATGAAAGAGATAGTTTCAAGTAAAACCTTGGGAAAAATGTTGTGCAGTTTATTTGCCTGTCCCTACTGTGTGCATTTACTTGTTTCGAGGATCCAGATGTCTCTGGATAGGGGCTACCTTTCTAAATTGTATCCTCATTTGTAAAAGCTATCAGAGAAGGTTAATGGGGATCTCTGTTCTCCACCTAAGCTCCAGTGCTTGCTTTCTGCATGTTGTAGATTCCCCTTCACTAGTGATTTAAATTACCATGGCAGTAGTGTGGGTTTTTTATTTTTCAGGCTCTGTAGCTGCATCTTAGAGGCAAAACTGGTCATACCGGAAGGTCAAAAGAATTTCCTCCCTTCTAGTTCCCAACAAAGAAATTTTCAGTGACCATTTAAATATATATCTTACCAGTTCCTGAAACAAGGTTGGTGACAGTCTTAAAGTGCATTTTATAAGGTACTTAGGTTAATATTTCCCGATCAGCTAGAATGCCCCAAACTCACACCAGAATCTGGCTGCCTGCAGCACGCAACTGTCCCTCTCTCACTGCTGGGGAAAGAATTAGGCAGTAGCTGGAGGTGTCTCCTGGAACAAGTCAGAGCAACCAGTGCCAGTGTAGCGTGTCTGACTACCTATCCACTAATTTCCCTGCACTGAAATGCTTTATTCTTGGGAGGAAAAAGGCTCAAGTCTCAGCCTCATTTCAGCATCATTTCAGCTTTCTCTGTTGGCACACTCATCACATGGAGAAAAGACGGACTAGCTTAGTTGCAATTTTTAAAGAATTCTTCTTCAGAAAGAGTTTCTTGCCTAGTTCTCTGTATCACTGAGGAATAACCCCTTTCCCACTGCTGCTGCAGAGCACCAGACACTGCTTAAATGGTATGACGTAACAGTGCTTGTTCAGTGATGGCTTGACGTTGAATGGCAGCAATCTCTATTCATGCATCTTCAGCTGTTGCTTTTCCTCCTGCTCTTCTTCTCCTCCTCTCTGATATTGTTTGTTGTTGTCCACAGAAAGAAAATGTGAGCCAAAAACCGTCAAACTTGTAATATCACAATGAGTAAGAAATGAAGCAAACTGAAGTTGCCAGTTCTGTAGTATTGCTTTTAATGGATTTGCGGTGCTTGTCTGCTGTGGAATTCTTGTGTATAAATCAACCATGTGAAAAGCATTAAATATGCTGAAAATACAGCACAGGAGTTCAGATCGTATAAACAGATACAGCAAGAATTTTGCATCTTGCCAAGGACATTTTCAAATAATGAATGTGTCTTGCATTAAATGAATTTGTTCCCTTTCTGAAGTCTAGATGTTGCTATCACAGAAACTGCCATGACAGCTGACACTCACGGCTCTCCTGCTGGTAACTTGAATGGCAGCGCAAGGGTCAAAAGGACAATGCAGATTGCCTCTTGCCCTCTAAAGGGGATCCTTCTGGGATTAGGCAGGGTTTCAGCAACTGGTGTGAGGACAACCAGAGCTACTGAGGGTGTCAGCCTCCAGGAATCTTTTGGCATCACTTGTTAATGCTAAAGGACGTTTTTAGAAAAAGTTCATCTCTCTCAAAAGAGCCCAGCTAAAAGGAGGAGAATGTAAGACCTGCATATTTTGCCTGCTTTAAATACGGCATAGTGTGTGTCTGACTCGGCGAGCAGCTCTGGCTCCTCAGCATGTGCTTTACAGTGTTGGTGAGAGCACCCACTTGTCGGGGGCCTGTGCTTCCTCTGTTCCAGGTTCTCTGAGCCAGACCCCAGCCACACACTGGAGGAGCGAGTGGTACACTGGTACTTCAGCCAGCTGGACAACAACAGCAGCAATGACATCAACAAGCGGGAGCTGAAGCCTTTCAAGCGTTATGTGAAGAAGAAAGCCAAGCCCAAGAAATGTGCCCGACGTTTCACCGACTACTGTGACCTCAACAAGGACAAGTCGATCTCGCTTCAGGAGCTGAAGGGGTGCTTGGGAGTCAGCAAGGAAGGAGGTGAGTGCCTTTCCTTCCCCGTTGCATGAGAATAAAAGACTCGACATGGAGTAACAGCAGACTCAGGAACTGGTTTTCTCCCAGGTGATTCAGAAGTGCCACAGTTTGTGTGAGAAAATGAGTGGGATTAATACCCTGCCATGCAAATGTAGTTTGTTATTTGTGTTATGGCTCTGTCTTATATCCCTTAACATGGATCTTTGTGCTAAGCACTATACAGAAACAGGGCAAAAAGATGAGCATTGCCCAAGACCCTGCTGGTACTGTAGAAGTCCTTGGAAACTGTAGTTCAGATCAGGTCCTTTCTGAGTAATACACTGCTAACAATATTCTGTTGTCTCAACCATGTAGGTTGGATGATGTATGAGCCAGCACAGACCCAGTCCTTCTCCAGAGACCCTGTTGACTAACAGAAATAATATTTATTTTCATTGCTAAATCCAGCATACAGGAAAGTGGATGACGCAGAGAGAGCAACTCAGAAAGAAAGCGCAGGGCTGTACTGTTGCCCTTTTTCAGACTTAAATTGCACTTTAAGATTGGGAGAGAAATAGGACATACGAATAACATATTTTCCTCTCTGTTTAGTGCCTGAGCAACCAACCCACCCTCCTTCCTTTTCTTCCTCTTTCATCTTCACCTCATCTTCTGTTGGGACCTGGACCAAATTGGTATTTTTGTTAACTTTATGAAACTGTTCAACCCAAATTCAATAATTATCAGTCATTCTTGACTGTGGGCAGACTTGCTTGGCAAGAGAAGGCAAACAGGGAGATTCCAGGGGACTAATTTCCTGTGCAGGTGTTTTGGCTGTGCAGACAGCTCTTGTTATAACCATCGTGCCAGTTGGGAAGGGTGGGTAGCTTGCTTTCTCCAGGCTTAACCTTTCCTTAGTTCTTTCCTCAGGTTTAGCACAAGTGGGAAGGGAGTTGGTGCATTTGGGTGTTGGGAAGTTGCCTTTTCTAGGTTCTTTGCAGACATCTTAGTTACCATAATAAGCCTGTTGCATTACTCGTCAGCTGTGAGAAGCATTCAGCTTCCCTAGCTCAGTGGAAGTTTTTTTTCTTCGTCATCGGTACCTTACTGAGGAATGACATACCAAAATAGCAACCCTGTTCCTTAATTTTATTACCTTCCCAATAAGATGAATATGCCAAATGAGTTTTATTACTATTTGGCCTGGAGTAAGACTTTCTGGAATCTGCTGCCTTGGCCAACCGACTGTTCAAAATTTAGTTTATGGAAGGGGGTGGGGGGGAAGGAGAGAAGAAAGAAAACGTGAATCTTTGAGCCTGTGTGAAAGGGAAAGAAAGCAGCGAGACATTGTTGTGAGTGCCTGATTGCCCAGCTATTTGCTGAGAACGCTGCCTTGACCTTTCATGATTTCTTCCGTTGTATGAGGACAGGATTGTGTGCAAAAAGGGGCTCTGTTTTATCATACAGCTTCACATACCTCCTAAAGGCCTGATGGGCCTTGAGGATCAAAGCTAAATGGGTAAGTTATGTGGAAGGAGGACCGAGGGGGGGGGGGGCTAAAGGGGGGGGGGGGCTAAAAGACCGGAAGGGGGG